TCGTCTACCCTCTGTCTTCGGAATACGTGGTGCACGCGTTCGTGTTCGCCGCCGCGATCTCCAGGTACGCATCGCTCTCCGACGTGTGGGAGGCGGCGTCTCTGGCCAGCGTAGCGATCGCCACCGTCGACCTCGTCCGAAACGTGCTCGTTTACAAACTAGGGCCGTGCGCCTTCGACGGTCGGGACGTGATGGAGTGCGATACGTCCTTGGGTGACTGCTACGAAAACCTTCTGGACCTCAGCGCCAACAGCATCGACGCCGCCGACTGTCCGATCAACAAGGTCGGACGACACTGGGCGATCGTTCTCACCGCTTCGCAGGCCATCAGGTTCTGCGTCGTGGTCGTTCTCTAGAGTTTCCTGCTTTCGCGGAAGGGAGTCAGGTTGTTGCGATCCGGCGACAAACGAGACGAGAAGGACAAAGCCAACGACGACCACGACGACGATTCGAGCGACAAGAACCAGGACGTCATTTTTCAAAGAGGACGTAACGTGTGACGTGATGTAATTTTACCTTTATTTTTATTTTTATTTTTTGATTGTTTTTCTTCAGTCGGATGCTCCTTATACCAAAAGGATCAAGTTCGAGGACGAAAACGACGACGACGCAAGCACCTCCCAAACTGTTGGAGTCGGCGACGAACGAAGAGAAGCTGAGACCGCAGATGGCAAAGGAAACCTAACGGAATTCTTTCCCGAGGACTCTCAACTTCCCGTCGACGACGAACGAACAGTCGGAGAAGGAAACCTCGCCGATTACTTTCCGGGGGATTCTCAGCTTCCAGTCGAATCGTCGGACGAACAGGACATTTCCGACCAAGACACGGTCGTTTACGGAGACGAAGAACTGGAACAGCAACTGGACGACTGGCTGTTCTCGAAAATGTTGAAGTACAACCCGCCTTCGGAATAAAATTTAAAAAAAAAATGTTCCGATATATTAAATACTAAAGCAAAAAGAAAAACACGAAATCTTATATTCTGTTTTGTCTTCAATAAAGTCTTTATTACAAAAAACAATATAAAGTTGTTATTGTGCATATTTGTCTTCATTAGAAATCAGTCTATTATCAGTAGGTAATGCAAAAGGAAATTATGCAGAGAACCGCTACCTTTCCAAAATTTAAAGACGGGGAAGACAGGGTGAAAACCTTTCGCAACTGGCCGCACGACAGACCCGACGGAAGGTCGATGTCGGAAGCGGGGTTCTTCTACGGGGATTTCGAAGATAACGCCAGGTGTTTCTTCTGCGGAATATCGCTGTGCCGATGGGAGCTGGACGACCTTCCTCCTTTCTGAACACGCCGAACACGAGAGTTCGTGCTTGTGGTTGCGGCGCAAGACGAAGGAAACCCTGATTTCCAAGATTAATTTTGGGTCGGATTCGACAGCGACGTGATCGCAAAGGTCGTGAGCGATCATCTCGAGAAAAAAGGACAAGTGTTCTCGTTGACAAACGAAGTTCTGGTCTCAAGCATAATCGACTTCGATGAAAATGGGGCCGACGACAGGAAAAAGGACGGGGTCGAAGATCCGTCGAAACACGAGGGCTTGGTCTCTGATCGCCGAACTTCGCTTGGAAGAAGATGCCGAAGACGAACGCCCGGAACGAAAAGAAGAGGAAGAAGGAGTTCGTGCGCCCGTCGAAAGCTATGCGAACAAGGTACGCGTCGGCGACGACGACGACAACGACGACGAGAAATCTCGCGGAGATCTATTGAGGGAACTTACCGATCTCAAGGACGAGATGTCGTGCAAGGTGTGCATGGATCGCGATTCGAACGTCCTCCTGACTCCGTGCAACCATCTCGTCTGCTGCGACTCGTGTTCCGTAAGGTTAGCGTCGTGTCCGATCTGTCGTACAAAAGTAGGTGAAGTCGTCAAAGTTTACCACAGTTAGGTTTAGGTCATGGAGACGATGGCCGAAACGACGAGAATCATAAGAGAAACGATGGCCGAAACGACGAGAATCATGAGAATGTTTGCAAAAGCGATAAAGGAAGCCGAGTTGCACGGCGATAAGGTAAACCGATTTTTTTTGACGAGTACCAACAAGTCATCGACCCGACCGTCAGCGACGAGGAGTGGGAAACCCGATATTTTTGTACTATCCGTGGAAAGAGGTGTCTGAAAGTGGGACATTTGAAAGTGATAAAAGAGATCGACAGATTGAGGACTGCGTGCAAGTCGGAATCTCGTCACGTGCTTCCACCTCCCTTTCAGATCGCCAGAAGGTGCATAGTGCATCGCGACCCGGAGGACCCTTTCAACCGGACGGCGACTAACCGAAGCAAGGAAGGATTGGACGTTCGACCGAAAGGATACGATCGCCCGTCCGCAGTGAATTGGATATCTTCCGTTCTCGGCGACTGGCCTTGCGAACGAGGACGCGTGGCGGACGTTTTGGCGATCGCGCAGAAGGCGTTCTCGTCTCATCCTTGGAAGGACATGATGGCTTACACGGTGGGCGACGTGCTGAACGAATTGTGTCCCGGTTTCGGTTGGATGTCTCTCCGGACGATGGAAGAAAGCTACAGATGCCGGGTGTGTTAGGACGCGTACTCCGAGGAGATGACGATGCCTTGCCAACATTTCACGTCCTGTCGATCGTGCTCGAAGCGGGTGAACAACTGCCCGACGTGCAGACGTCCCATCGAACAGAGGCTGTCGGAGTGGCAGATACCGGACGGTACGAAGG